GAGAGAAAACGTTTCATTTTAATATGTTATATAAAAAATACATGCACAATCTACAAGGAGATTTTCTTCTTATGAGTTTGACTAGTTTTGCAAACTGTTCAACAGATGTTCCTCCAAGTTGAGTCATTCTTTGTAGGCAGAACTTAGACACAGGTACATATATATATAGAACATATCGCTGCTGTTTCAAGGTACACTGAGATCGCAGGCGAATCACCGAATGCAAAAGCGAAAAGTCTGCATTGCGACGTCAAACGTTGGGAGTGTAGGGGGTGGTGGACAGTGTCGACAATGAGAGATTGACTGAAGGTTAGCCGCGTGCGCCGCGGGGGTGGCTCGCGTAGGGGTTGTCGGCACGGCGCGCGGCGATTCGAGTTGGAGAAACGGTCTCAGCTCGCGCCGCTCGGCCTGAAATTCGCCCGAAGTAATCAATATTATAGCTCGCGAAGATATATGCGAGAGGATGTGGGCAAACAGTATACACACGTGCATTGTTACACGGCCGGGGAGAGATGGTCGGTGTAAGGAGGGGTTGTCGAGGGAGTCGGAGCCGAGGGGGGGAGGTGATGAAGAAGGGGCTGAAGGGTGCCACGGGGCTCGCAGAGCGGAACCGCGGCTCGCAGGGGTTAGCGGGGGGGCGAGGAAGGGCTTGAACGGAGGAAGGAAAGGGGTGGACAGCCGGACAAACAAAACCCTTGCTGCTTCATTTCTGCCCGTCTGGCCAGACACCGACCCTTTATACGCGCGTGCTTCCGTCCTACGTCCGCCGCCCACCCCTGCCCGTTGCGCGGTGGACCCGCACCGCTCTCTCCTGTTAACGTTCCGAGACGAACGGCACTTTCTGCGCGCTACCTTTCGAGTTCGTTAATTAACGGCACCGTCGAGTCGAAGGATGTGAGTCGTAATAGCTTCGAATGGGATTGATAGTCTCAGACGCGAGAGTATTGTTCGGCGCTGCCTGAAATGAATATTACCGCTCGGCTTTTCATCGTGTGCACGACGAAAAATGTGGCAGGTGTAAATGTTCCAATTCTTTCAATATTCTTATCTTTATTTTGTTGCACATACGCATATATAGATACACATATATATATATAGATGAACATGTTCAATTTATAATATAGATATATGGAGAGCTGAATAAATATGAATTATTCTTTATGGTTTTTCCATCAATTGTTATTGTTGTATAATTTTATAGGGATAAAAAAGGTGTCAAATTTAATAAGAATAAGTTGTCGAATTTCTCGCAATTCGTCGAATGTACGAGTCCAAGTAAATCGTGACGATTTGTGTATTTGTAGTAATTAATTTCTACTTACATATATGCTGTTTAATCCTGTTACAATTGCAATTAATGGTTTCGAATAATTCTGTTTCAGGTCAGTGGTGTATACTTCCCTGGCTTCTGAGAGACACAGTGACGTGGCTTGTTGATGTGAGTCAAAGTACTTTTCGTAGTCGTGTCATTTAATTCTAAGTGTTTTCGCATTTTATAGCAAGCGCGTAAAGTTATTTGTTTTCTTATTCAGCACATATTTCGAATTTTTGATAACTCGAGATGACACATATACATTTAATAATAAACTAGAGTAACACAGTTTTAGATATCATATTAGAAGATTCTTACTTTTCCAAAATTATAAATTTTGTGAAAAAATTCGGATCGGTGAATTGTTAACATGCATTGATTTGTGCATTCTTAAAGGAGAATCGAATGTTCTATTGTCAGTTTTAGATCGACGTCGCGACTTCTTCTGAATATTTAAGTAACAAATATTAAAACTTTCGTCGCGTGATGCGACGCGATCCAAAGTTCTCCCGACCTCCGTAAATTTGCGATCACCCCTCATATGCGACGATCCTAAAACGTTATGACTGTTGACGACGAGCGTTGTCAAAATTTTGGCGTCGTACAACCCCTGATGCATATAAGAAACCACGATTTATCCGACATAGGAGTCGAGGGTAAAGAGGATGCCGCGCGAATATTCGGGTGACATAATACTTCTTAAGTCGTAAACCTCCCTTGCTTCTTAACCGGCATTCTTCAAGTTTCGTATCGACAGTCGTACAACAAACACGATTATCGATGTCTTGTCGGTTTTCTAAAGCAAAGGGGAGGAAAACGCGCCCTCGATCTCACGTGCTGCTCCTTTCAACCCTCTCCTTATCTATACCGTGTATTTTACGTCGCCGTTTCCAAAGAATCTTTTTCCCGCCGAGTCGTTTAGAATTATTGTCTTTTGCGTCGAGTCGGGAACCGAATAATTCTGACAAATTGGAATTTTATTAATTTTGAGAGACAGTTCGAAATCGTATAAATTAACACAAAATATAAAATCTTCAATTTAAAAAATCTGAATTTGCAATTTGTTAAGAAAATTATTTATATAAAACTGCATGTATGTTAGTTTCTATTTTAGTAGCACTCGGTTATCTTTTTAATTTTGAGAACTTAATCACTATCCGATACATGATACATAACCTATATTCATCGAAATAGTGTCGCGAGAAAAGAGATTAATAACGGCTAATTGAAAGCTTCATTTCTTTCGTCATTTTTTTCGGCGGACGTATGTAAGTGCGATCCATATAGGACGATTACAATACGATGCGCGTGTCGGTTCTTGAATGTTTGCGGGAGCGCGGTGGCTTTGGGAGTATAGTCGGTTTGCGTCCGTGGAATGTGTTCTGGTCAACACACCGTTCATTGGCTACTTGCTCACGCGGTACATTAGTATTCTAGCTAATTAAAACGTAACTGAAACTGTAATGGTCTGCGTTATCGATGGTGTAACGCGTGGGTGAACGGCGCGGCCGAAAGTTACCCCGTTACAAGGGACATCGCGCAGTGTATACATTTTCCTGCTTGGTTCGCGGAATAGAGGGGAATGTCTGATTGTCCTGAAAAAGCAGACTCGTAGTTTTTCTTCATAAAAGATGCTTTTGCCAATTAATTTTTCCCACGCGCGAGTCATTCTTACGCTCTCTCTTTCTCTGTCAACTCGTTTACACAGGATTAAAAAAAAAAAGAGCACATGGTTACATTTGGTAAAGTTGTGTGGAACATATACGAAAAGAATATAAATGTTACAAAAATTGTGTGTAATAAAATGACTCATTGTACACTCATAAGTACAGTTGAGAATAGAGATTTTATATGTTATTCTATTTAATTTTTTCCATTGTGCTGAAAAAGCAATCGCTAAATGATAAATTCGGAAAAATATTTGTACTATTGATATTTATTTACCTATGTGAGTATACACGGCATTGCTTGGGGCTATTCGTTTTAGCATCAAAGAATTACATACGTTTTTTACAAACATTAATGCAAACGTCAATGATAATCGAAATTCGGAGTAAGTAGATACATATTTAAACAAAATGTATGTCTATACACATAAAAAAATTAATCTTTTACGTTGATAACTAGATTTTCGTGCTTGGCATAAAAAAGGCATTGCTCGTTCCAAAAAAGAAAAGAATTAAGAAACCAATATATTTAATTTGCCTTTGAATTTAATTCAACAAACTGCAAACTACATCTTAATTCTATGCACGGCCAAATAGTTTCATCACTCATTGCAATTAATCAAGAAACCAAGTTAGTTGCCAACATTAAACGCACATTCCCGATATTACTAAGATACTAATTATTTGCTGCTGGCTGAGTGGGGGTTGCTTTATCCTCTTGTATATGAACGGGTGCAGCGCGTACCCGCCTGCCCGCGTACTAACCGCATAGAGGGTGGTTTCGGATGAACGCTCGGGATATTGCTTGCGTTATTGAGCGTGTTAATTGATATTTCTTTCGTTCGAATTTATTTTTAAAAGCGCAGAGCGGCTGGGAGCTTTCCCGCCTCCGGGAAATTTGCGTTTCCCTGAAACTGATAATAATATATACCGCCAATATATCATTATACCTTTGTCCTTTGTGTTCTCGCAGTGACGCCCAATGCTGACGACAATTAACATTTTTACGTTATTTATTCACTTTTGTAGTTCGCGATTGCGCGGCTGAAAATAATTTGCGTAGCTGTGCTCCTTTGTACTAATTATAAATAAATATTTCACACAGTTGTGAAAAAAGCGGCTCGGCTGATAGTATTATAGCAATTCTCACCGCCCTCGGTCGCTACGTGTAATTGACTTCCTTATGTATGCATATTTATTCCAGCGATAGCTATGCATATTATTGCATCTAATTTTAATATATTTTCTCCTATATAAATAAGAGAATCTATCACTCGACATATTAAGAAAATTATTCTTTTTATCTCATCTCGCAATGTGCATTGTAAAATATTCTTTCCGAAATAAATTTTACAGCTTCAATAACTTGACGAGAAATATTGATAATTTTATAAAAAATTAGTCTGACTATTTGGAGGAGGAGGATAAATTAAAAAAAAAAAATTAAAGATACGTGGTTGCAAGTAATTAAGCAAAATTGGAAGTTGGACGAAATGAAATCACTATTAATCACACTCATAAAAGTTTTATGTAGCATTTAATAATGCATTTACAATATTTGACATTTTGTCAATTTGATACAGAAATATAGTTCTCAATCTATTATCATCTCCATGGCATACATATATTATATTATCTTAATATATCTATTTTCTTTTATTATCGACGTTACGATTTTGCAAATTGTTTAATGAGATTAATGTTGTGACGTCTAAATTCCTTATTATTGACAATAAATTAGAATTGGTAACAAGATTGATTCTGATGTAACGGATTAATCGATTGCACGGGAGCGATTCAGATGATCAAGATATAACCTGGCTGCCTATGATCAACGTCTGGTTAAATAAAAATGCGAATAGCAATAATAAATGCTATTATCGGACGTTGTGACAATCGTCCGCGAGCACTCCAGCAACGCGAATGCCCTGTCCATTTAATTTCTCGGCAAACAATGGGATGATTACGCGCCGATTATATTCTGTCGGAGGGCAGAGATGCGCTGGGAATTCCGTGGTCAATCGTTCTATTAACTGCAATAAAAGTAACGAGCGATCTTAATTGTAAATCAAAAGCGAATTTTACGTCGTTATACACGCGCAACATATATGATATAAAAGATAATGCCAACGTTAAGAAATGTGAGGAACAATTGCATCACGGCTTCAGTAAAACGTCAACTATGCAAATAGCTTCGTGACAAAGGCAATTCGAGTAATTGAAAATTGTATGAAAGGAAAAAGGAAAAGACAGTTGTAAATTTTTTTAAATATACTTTTTGTTGTGCACGCTGCAGTAATACGCTGTTTTAAGACAAGTAAAACGTAAAGAAAATGAGGAAATGTTATTATAAATAAATACGTTTAAAAAGCTTAAAATCAATAATATATCGAACTTTTTTTCTTCACAATAATTAAATTTATTAGCAATTCGAATAAATTGCTTTCTGGATAATTAAATGTTAAATATCGGTAATTGCGAAAAGATGATATTTATATTTCTTGATCACTTGTCATATATTTCATACGAGGAAAGTGTGTTAAATCGAGGCGTGCAGCGCTTTTGCGGAGATTTTACTGAAAGTACTGAGAGTAATCTATCGCGTCTTATTGAGAAAGATGTCGAGTAAATACGGTGGATGTATAGCCGTGTGAAATAATGCCATCAATATATAAAAAGACGATCCGGCGCTGTCGGGTAATAGAAACCGATTTGTCAGGGTGCCTTTACATTTCCACGCAGCGAGTTTCGCATCTGATAGCCCGTTTTATCCCACGGGAGCCTCGTCCATATCCTCCTACCACTTTACCCATCCCGACCAACAGGCAGGGAAAATCACGGGAGGGCACCCTCTTTTCAACCCTGTCACGACACGAGTGCGTGTGTCCGAACGCGCCTATGGCTGCCTGATTTCGGTCTTTCTTGCCTACAAAGTCGAGTAGATAGGGAATCTTGTAAAATGGCCCGACGAAAGACAAATATTACCGAGGATCACCGGACGAAAGATGCAATTTATTTTGCGGGATTCTGCGTGGCGACAATCGCAAAGAGATTTTGCCAGCCGTAAGATATACACGGATTTAAAGATCGGCAACGTGATTAAAGCTGAGGCGTTGCAAGCATTACATGGTTTTTACCATTTTTTCATCATTAATATACAAGATTCATTACGAAATAATATTGCATGGATAATATTTTACTAGTCATGTAATTTGTAGAATAAACCGTCTTTAATTTAGTTTATTTTATAAGCAAACATTTAATAAGTTATCAACAATAAAAAATGTTTAAATTATAATCTTATTGGATTTGATATATCTATTTTTTTTGGTTAAAATTGATGCCTTCTATTAAAATGAAAGATGTACGAACAAAATGAGAAAGTCGTAACACATCCTTATGAGTGCTCGTGATGCACAAAGATCCGCCGATTCATCGCATGAGAATACGCGTGTATTC